TTACACTACTTGATGAATTTAAGGTTAAAGGACCTCCCTACGTGTTCGTTATCGTACCTAGAGACTCTAACTCGCTAAAGCTCTTTTTTCAGACTTGAAACTTTTTTTTTGATACTAAAAATCTCTTTCAGGCTTACAAGGCTCTCTTTAGTATTAAAACGTCTTCAAGACTTCTTTCAGTATTTAAACAAACTCTTAAGACTCTTTTTTTCAGTCTTAAAACTCTTTTTCAGTCTTAAAATCTCTTTGAGTCTTTAAATCTCTGTCAGCCTTAAAATCTAAAAATCTTCTTATCAGGCTAATGCTCTCTTTCAGGTCTTAAAACTCTTTTTCAGTCTTAAACTCTAGACTCTCTTTCAAGTCTTAAAAACTCTAAACTCTTTTTAGTCTTAAAACTCGTTTTCAATCTTAAAAACGTCTTTTTTCAGTCTTAAAACCTAAAAAGACTTTTTTCGGGTTGTAAAAGGCTGCTTGTTTAAACCATAAGGAGGGTTAGAACACTGACACATTTAAGGAGAGAACTATAGTCGTACACTTCCTTGTCGACGAATGTCCTTGGAACATGCAGACTGCGAGACATACACTACTGAGTTGAGCAGGTAAGACCTCTCGCCTAGTGTGCATGTACCTAGGACTCCACTTCGACTTCGGCCAACTGCTCCGACTCGACAACAGATTGTGGAAAAGGGATTGTTACGTTTTCATATATGTCCAAAATGAGGAACATAGGAAGTCCGTTGGTCCCTTCGCGCAGGGTGACCTAGACCTCAGACGGCTCTACTCGTTGTACCGCAGCAACTAGTTCCTGAACAGTGTCCTTCACATGCTGATATCCAAGAGAGGGAGTTCCACAGTCCCAAGATGGAGGAATAGAAAGCAGTATTCAATGTTTACTTGAGATTAGCTCCACGTCAGAAATGATCATGCTTGTCATATGTCTCTCTCCATAGAGGCTGAATCATCATGTTAATCACATAGCTATCATATGCCTCAAACAGTCCTGATGCTCTTCTAGGTAATCACACATCCTGTCATGTTCACAGCTGCAGTTGGGATACCTTTGTTATCATGATACTCTCATGTTGGAAGAGGACGTTCAGTGTTTTTAGAATTTTGAGAGAATTTTGAGAAAAAGTCTGAATATTTAGAGAAATTTGAGAAAAAGGCATAATTTTGAGATTTTGAGGAAAAAGTCTGGATTTGGATAAAAAGTCAGAATGTTGTACATGACAGGATGTACTGCTTTCTATTCCTCCATCTTGTGACTGTGGAACTCCCTCTCTTGGATATCAGCATGTGAAGGACACTGTTCAGGAACTAGTTGATGCTCTGTATGTGATGACTACTTCCATTCTGGAGAGGATCACAGATACATGGATCCTGAGATTCAAACTCAAGCCGGTGATCAAGGAGAGTTTTCTAACATTAATGAATAACGTGCCTGTGCTTCCTGTCAGATCCAAATGACAGACACCAGCTCGGTGGTCCTGATCCCGGAGAGCAAGCTGAACCACAGCGGGCGCTTCATCATCAACGCAGAGAACGCCGCCGGACACAAGCTGCTCAAAGTGCGCGTCACCGTGCTCGGTACGTGAACACCCGGACAGCACCTCTATAACCTGACGGTGATGTGTTGAGGATGATAAGGTTGTGATGTTGTGTGTACTAATTAACCCCTGGTGTCCCTGCAGACCTGCCCGGGGCCCCCAGAGACCTGAAGGTGAGCGACGTGACTCGAGGCACCTGTAGATTCACCTGGAAAGCTCCAGAGAGCGATGGAGGAGAGAGGGTGAAGAGCTACTTCATCGAGAAGAAGGCGGTCAACGGGAAGGCCTGGACCAAGGTACCTGACACCTGACCCTGCAGAGAAACAGGAAACTGATCCACCAGACAGACAGGAAACTGATCCACCAGACAGACAGGAAACTGACCCCTAATCCAAATAAATTGACCCCTAATCCAAGTAAACTAACCCCCTAATCCAAGTAAACTAACCCCTAATCCACAGGAAACTGACCCCTAATCCACAGGAAACTGACCCCTAATCAACAGGAAACTGACCCCTAATCCAAGTAAACTAACCCCTAATCCACAGGAAACTGACCCCTAATCCAAGTAAACTGACCCCTAATCAACAGGAAACTAACTCAGACCCACCAGAGAAACATAAAACTGACCCTGACCCCTAACCCTAGTTGTTGATCCAGGTTTATTAACCCGCTCTGGCTCCTCTCAGGTGAACCCGGCCTGTGCAGCCCAGTCTCTGGTGATCCCAGACCTCATCAACGGACAGGAGTACATCTTCAGGATCCGAGCAGAGAACCGCTTCGGCTTCGGACCCCTGGCTGAGACCGAGCAGCCCACCAAGGCCACCGACCCCATCCGTACGTACCGGAAAGCATTTATTATACCCTTATTATATCTATAATATTTATATTGAACACTTATGTACATTTATTTAACTTGTTCTTACAAATGCACAAAGTTTTACTGTGATGTCTTGTTCTAATAGTTACTTTATCACTTTATTTTTGCTGTATTACTATTTGTATTTGTTTACTATTCTCTTTATTTGTACCTTGTGTGAATGCTGTTTTTCACTCTGACCCTGTTGCTGCTAGAAACGCCTGAGTTTCCCCAAGGGGATGAATACAGTTCCATCTGATCTGATCTGATATCGTTATTATATAGTTTCTTCCAGAAGACTTAAGAAGGACAGTAACTTTTGAATGACTTAATGACTATTTCTAATAACCCCCTTTATGTGCAGACCCCCCCGACCCCCCCACCAGGCTGAAGATCAGGAGCGTGAGGCGGGGGGCCGTCTCTCTGACCTGGAGGGCCCCGAGGAACGATGGAGGGGCCCCGGTGACTCACTACAGTGTGGACCTGCTCTGCTGGGAGGCCAGCGGGGCCGCCAAGGACTCCTGGAGGAGGTACGGCCCGCTTCACTCTATTATATTTCACACTACATACCGTATTGACCCGAAAATAAGACGGGCTTCTTTCCTTGAAAAAGATCTGAAAAAGGAGGTCGTCTCATATTCGGGGTCTAGACATTTAGTAGGCAAGTTAATAAACAAGAGAGGGGAAGTTACGAGAGAGAGAGGGAGAGAGAGAGCATCATAAATGGTTTCAAGAAATGCTGCGTGTCAAATGCAGTGGATGGCATGTTTTCAAATACAATTATTTTCTTTATAAAAACAAGATTTGGTCTTCAAAAAGGTATATTTAAAAAAAAAAAAGAGGGGTCGTCTTATATTCGGGTAGTTCATGTCTCTTGTTATGGTTCAACATCGGGCCAATGCTGCGTCACATGTTACAGCTGCAAGGGATTGTGGGACGGCTTAGAGACTCTGTTAGGATCCCTCCTGATTATGTGTGCTGCCTTCAGGTGCAACAGGAGAGACGTGGACACCACCAGCTACCGGGTGGAGGACCTGACGGAGGGTGATGAGTACGAGTTCAGGGTGATGGCCCACAACGAGGCGGGCCAGAGCCGGCCCTCCAACACCGTGGGACCCATCCTGCTGCAGGACCAGACCTGTGAGTAATCTGATTACTTCCTGTTTCCTGTAGAGAGTAATCTGATTACTTACTTCCTGCTTCCTGCAATCTGATTGCTAACTGTTGGGGAAATCTTGCCCTAGGCCCACACCTCTGACCCAGTGTATCAGTCTGCCCTCACTGAGCAGCTGCACCTTGGGCTGCTCTCAGAGTCCCCCTGTTCCTCCTGTTGGCGTCAGCTGATAGAGCTTATCGTGCTTTATCTGCTTTATCTTGTTATTGCATGTTGATTATTCTCTCAGAGCTAAATGCATGGGTCTGGGGTAGAGATCTTCAGAAACACGGAACATGTCTTGTGAATTCTCCGGCCGAAGCTCCAAATAAACCCTCAGTGTTTCCCTCAAAGTTCCTGCTCTGTCCATGTCTCTCCGTGTCTCTCCGTGTCTCTCCGTGTCTCTCTGAGTCTCTCCGTGTCTCTCCGTGTCTCTCTGAGTCTCTCCGTGTCTCTCCGTGTCTCTCTGAGTCTCTTTGAGTCTCTCTGGGTCTCTCCGTGTCTCTCCGTGTCTCTCTGAGTCTCTCCGTGTCTCTCTGAGTCTCTCTGGGTCTCTCCGTGTCTCTCCGTGTCTCTCCGTGTCTCTCCGTGCCTCTCCGTGTCTCTCCGTGCCTCTCCGTGTCTCTCCGTGTCTCTCAGAGTCTTTCAGTGTCTCTCCGTGTCTCTCTGAGTCTCTCTTGGTCTCTCCGTGTCTCTCTGAGTCTCTCTGGGTCTCTCTGAGTCTCTCTGAGCCTCTCCGTGTCTCTCCGTGTCTCTCAGAGTCTTTCAGTGTCTCTCCGTGTCTCTCTGAGTCTCTCTGGGTCTCTCCGGTCTCTCCGTGTCTCTCCGTGTCTCTCAGAGTCTTTCAGTGTCTCTCCGTGTCTCTCCGTGTCTCTCTGGGTCTCTCTGTGTCTCTCCGTGTCTCTCTGGTCTCTCCGTGTCTCTCCGTGTCTCTCCGTGCCTCTCCGTGTCTCTCCGTGTCTCTCAGAGTCTTTCAGTGTCTCTCCGTGTCTCTCTGAGTCTCTCTGGGTTTCTCCGTGTCTCTCTGGGTCCCTCTGAGTCTCTCTGAGTCTCTCTGGGTCTCTCTGGTCTCTCCGTGTCTCTCTGGGTCTCTCCGTGTCTCTCCGTGTCTCTCTGGGTCTCTCCGTGTCTCTCCGTGTCTCTCTGAGTCTCAATTGATCCAGAGGTTTCCATCACACTAACTTCCTGTCTCCTGCAGGCGCTCCGTCCATCGATCTGAAGGAGTTCATGGAGGCGGAGCAGCGCTCCGACATCAGCATCGTGGCGAAGGTGCGCGGTTGCCCCTTCCCCACCCTCACCTGGTACAAAGCGCCCGCCCACCACCCCGAGCAGCGGGTGGAGGTCTCGTACGACGAGCACATCAACAAGGTGGTGAGCGACGACAGCTGCACGCTCCTCATCCAGCAGGGGAAGAGAGCCGACACCGGACTCTACACCCTGATCGCCTCCAACAGCGTCGGGAAGGCCTCCGCAGAGATGAGGCTCAACGTGCTGGGTAACCACACACACACACACACACACACACACACACACACACACACACACACACACACACACACACACACACACACACACAATCACACACACACACACACACACACACACACACAATCACACAATCACACACACACACACACACACACACACACACACACACACACACACACACACACACACACACACACACACACACACACACACACACACACACACACACACACACACACACACACACACACACACACACACACACACACACACACACACACACACAATCACACACACACACACACACACACAATCACACACACGTTTGTCTATTTAGTTTCTCCTTTAATGCAGACTCTGAGGTTTCCTGGTCTATAAAACCTTTACTGTATTTGTGTGTAGAATATAATTTAGCATTAAACCCCAGCTGAACGATTCCCTCCATGTAAACCCTTTGTTTCCCCCCCC